GACCACAAAATGAGTTATTTACGTAAATAAAAATTGGTCCAAATAAAATAAATAAATAATTTTAAAAAATAATATATTTTAAAAAAAAGTCTCAAAGAAAAAGGTTAAAAACACTATTACTAGTAATGCTCTCTAAAAAGAATCTTATTCAAAATAGTAATCCCAAGCGTGTGGTTCAGCGGTAGGGCTTGATTCACCCTTAAGTAAGGTCAGGGGTTCAAATCCTGCCTTGTGTATGCAGTCGCGTTAAATCTTAGGGTCAGCTATCCCACCCTTTGAAGTTATTGGTGGTGGATACTCCAGGGATGAACAAAAAAAAAATCTTATTCAAAATAGTTATTTTAATTTATATATACATGAGACTGATTATAGCAATAAATATTTTGACTAAAATATCTTTAATTAATTTACAATAAATGTTATGTTTTATTAAGATAAAATTATTTTCTCTTTTTTTAAAGGAATTATTTTCTCTTTTATGGATTAAAGAACATAACTTGCACAAATTAATTTATTAATGTAAAAGTAATTAAGTAAAAAAATTGAAATTATAAGTCCAATAATTGTAAAGGTAATTTTGTAAAATTAATAAAAGTTATTGTTACAATTTAATGCCATTAATCAATTTTTTGAATATGTGTGAAATTAATTAAAGAAAATTTTATACTTAATAAAAGAGGGAATATATAATTTTTTATAATTAATATATATATATATATATATAAAGAAAATTTCTAATTAAATTTTTACTCTGCACATTACACGCATTATTTTTACTATTTATGCACTTAAACTATATATTGGTCTAATTAGAACATAAAAATAATTTTTTAAGGTCTCAAACTGAGTTTTGATTGAAAGAAAAAATCTCATTTAAAGTGATCAACATTCTTCAATACACATTAATTAAAATCTTTGTTCTTATTAATAAGACTTAATTTTAAATAATTTTTTGTTCTTTTATTCAAGACTCAATCTATATTTATTTATTTATTAATTATTTTTAGATTAAAATACTTTAAATTAAACTATATTTTTTTAATTTAGTAAAATATATTAATTATAGACTATTTAATACACTTTAATTGGTTAAAATAGAGAATAATATTAATTAGGAAAGAGAAATAATATAGATATAAATATTAATTGGTTAAAAGATAAATATTAATCATAAGAGAAAAATGGTATAAGGATAATTTTGAAAAAAATTTATAAAAATATGACAAATTTATTATTTTCAACTATATTAACTATTTTTCTTAATATTGATGAACTATGTATTTAAGTTATATATATATATATATATATATATATATATATATATATATATATATTTATTTATTTATGAGGAATGATTCGTTTACTCTAGGAGTAAGTTTACCTAGACTTATTTTATTCAATAACTCATATTTTATATTAAATTTCAACGATCCAACCGTTGAATTTAAAGTTCTTAATACATAAATCAAGTCTGCAAATTTTAAAAAAAAAATTGAAAATAATTTAATACTTCATCTTATTAATTCAAATTGACGGATAATCATAAAATTATTTTATACATTGATTTGAATTAATAAAATGAAGTATCAAATAATTTTTAATTTTTTTAAAAAATTATAGATTTGATCCATGCATTAAAAATCGTTCAAATTTGATGTAGAACATAAATTATTAAATGAAATAAGTCTAAATAGACTTACTCTTCAAGTAAATAGATTCTTGATCTCTCTCTATATATATAAAGAAGACGTTATAAGCAAGGACAATAAATATTTTGCACACATACCATATTAACTAGAAATTTATTCCTACATTATTTTAATTTTCAATGTCATTAAGTTATTTAATATGTTTGGAGCAAGTTTTATGTCAAAACAAAAAATAACATAACAAAATTTGTCTTAATAATATACTAGTAATTATAATATAATATATTACTATTAATTTTATAAAATATATTACACAAAATGTGTTGAAAAATTAATAATTAAACAAACTATTTTATCATAATATTTGAGTGCAATTTATGTCGATATATTAAATAATTTAATAAGTTTATGTAAATTAATTAACACATAATAGCATATTTAAATTTTTTCAATAATTTTATGATACTTTTTCATGTCAAAAATATTGAAAATAGAAACATATCAATTTATAGAAATTTTTTACTCAAATAATATATTTTTAAAATAAATTTACCTAAATAGTAACGGTGCAAATTTATTTCCCCAACTAACACCATTTACTGTTTACATATCCAGGTAACTAGGAATTTTGCAACTAGAACGGTCCGTTCTGCATGCATCCTCGTCGTGTTTTTTTTTTTGCAACTGGAATGACCTGTTCTTAAATCATAACGGGTCATTCTAGAGTTGAATTTTTCACATAACCTCAATGTTGGAGCGGCCCATTCTAAACTAGAGATTTTAACCCTTTTTAGTAGTTTAAAACGGGCCGTTCTGCCCAATTCTATGCACTATACCTTTTTTTTATCAATGTAATATGAATTTTAATGTTTAGCTTATAAACTATTATAATTATACATTATTTGAACATGTTTTCGTAGTGTGATCTGCAAGTTATCAAAATTTTTCATTATTAGCCACAGTTTGACTCATACAAGTTTAAAATCTATTAAGACAAGGTCCCATTATTATCATCTCGTGTTTTTAAGTTTAGACACTATAGTTTCATACTTCAAAAGTGTTTCTTTTAAATCTAGCTTCAAACTTAACATTGCAGCGAACACAATTTACCCTTTCAACACAAATACAACGTAATCTCAAAGAGTAACATCAAGCAATTAAATTTATTGAATATTAACATTATAAATATAACTAAATAAATTTATTAAAACTCATTATAACAATAAAATCAATGGTGACGGGAACTAAATTTATAACCAATATTTGGATATGTCTTCTTAGTGTGACTAGAGGTATGACAATAGGAATAATTTTTTACACGATTATGTTGTTCTCTAATATCCATCTTTGTTCCAATCCTGCTAGACTTTGGCCGACCCTTAGAAGTCCTCTTGAGTTCTGGATTTGGCCACATAGTTGGACCAGTGTAAGTAAACCAATAAACTTCATGTCGGAGCTCTCCAAACTGTCCTTCATATACCTTTGCAACTTGTTGTAAGGTATATATGGGAGATATGTAGGTTTGATAGTTGTGACGTGCATGTAAGCATGAAGCGAGTACATGAGAGCAAGGGATATGAACTTTCTAAACTTGCCACAATCACACCACATTTCATCTAGCCTTATTGTAAATCTCCCAATGGGTCGAACTTCTCTCGAATGTTGCGTTTCTTTCACTAGAAATAGTGCTTAATCTGTCAAAGGTGATAACTCTATGAGTATTTGCCTTGGACTGTGCATCTTGAATAATTTTACTTGCTATTTTCGAGTAGACATGCCCAACATTAATCATTGCATCCACTTCCCTACCTCTTTGAACGAAAAATTTGTTGCAACGAGTGTATGTGGCCATTACCATAGAACAAATTGGCATATTTCGTGTTTTCTTCAATACAGAATTAATAGACTCAGTTAGGTTTGTTGTCATGTGTCCCCAACATCATCCATTATCCCATGCTAGTATCCATTTTTCCCTAGGAATGTCTAACCATTGGGTTGTTTCAGCATTAGTATCTCTTACTATATTGTAATAGTAAAAGAGTCTAGGTTCAATCATCACATAGACTGAAAAAAATAATAATTAAATAATAAAAACTAATTATTAATATTTTTAAAAAAGTAATGATAAAATTACCCATGTTGACGACATCCTTCTTCAGTGCTGCATTTTTGAATCGTCGCATGAAGTTTTGTGCAATGTGTCGAATACAATAGACATGGACAAAATTATTTTTTGTCCAACCACTTCCATTTCTTGAGTATGCACTTCGAATAGCCTCATGACGATCAGAAATTAGGCACAACCCGTCTTGCGGTGTTACATACCTTCTTAAGTTCTTAAGAGAAAAAAAATCATGCATCACTAGTTTTACCTTCAACAACAGCAAATGGAATAAAAATTATGTTGTTGCGACCATCTTGCGTAACTGCAACCAATAACGTACCTTTGTATTTGCCATATAAAAAGGTTTCATCAACTTGAACAATTAGTTTGCAGAAGGAAAAATCATCAATGCATGGTTTAAAGGTCTAAAATAACATTTTGAATATAACATTCCCCTCTTCGCCAGAACAGGCTATTCCAAAACCAGAACGACCCGTTCTAAACTTCTAAAAAGGCCTAAAAACGTTGTTTAGAATGGCTCGTTCAAGTTTTAGAACGGCCCGTTCTGGGTGTCAGATCGGCCCGTTCTGACTTTGGAACGGGCCGTTTCAGATGCAAAATTAATGCATGTTCAAGCGGAACGGCCCGTTCTGGTTGCAGAACGGACCGTTGCAAAACACGAAAAAAATTATAAAAAAAAAAGTGCACAGTAAATGGTGCTAGTTAGAAAAATAAATTTTACAAAGTTTCTATTTGTGTAAATTTTTTTTAAAAATATATTATTTGAATAAAAAATTCTCAATTCATATACATATGAAAATAAAATTCACTATTTTTATATTTAAAAGTCATAAATACCTTCTACTAAAGACGATCTTGTTTGAATCATACAACAATTACATAATGACAAAACACTATAGTTGAGTGATTAAAACAATTACATACCTACGCCTTAAACTTAAGTACCAATAGGTCATTAACCTAAATAATACTATACTTGATTTCTTTAAGTAAGGTCTTGAGTTCAAGTTTTATATATAAAAAAAGGTGATCGTGAGAAAAGATTCAATAGAGATTAATCATTAATAAAATTAATAGATAATAGATAATTTGTACCAATAATATAATTAAAAATAATAATACTAACTCAAAACTATTGATTAAGTCATAACAATCTCATATAAATTGATATACCTGTTTGGTGGATGAGAGACTTCACTTTGTGAGTAATGAAATGACTACAATGATACCTCAAAAAATCATTTATTACATTTTAAATTTCTCTCTCTTCGTTGTACAAGTTGTATACATGTATTACTTCTTTTCTTCTGATATTCACATTCACAAATCTGCTCTCTATCATTCTTTTTCTTGTTTTCCCTTTCTCTTGAACTTTGTGAGCTATTTGAAACAAAACCTCTGCAAGTATCATTTCCATTCACTTATAATTCAGCTGCATAGACAGCAGGATACAGAAGGCCATATCCACGTATCAGCCAAACTTAAGTTCCAGCAAGTTAACATATGAACAAAAATGAAATGGAATGAATGACCTAAGGATCATACATCCATCAAAGGAAGAGTTGGCGGCAAAGGAAAAGCTTTACAACACAAAAGACTGCATATGACTGTATGTATATAAACTACATCACAATGAGGTATTAGTGAGGCCATTCTCAACACTGCTTTCACCCTGATGTTGGTTGGCCTCTTCCCTAGAGACTGATCTTGTTACGTTCTCACCAACCTCACTCTTGCAAAGGGGGCATAAAGCATTTATCTTCAACCACTTGTCGACACAGTCTTTGTGAAAAAGATGAGAACAAGACAATTCTCTCAGCTCATCATTATTTTCATACTTTGCCAGGCAGATGCAGCAAACCTGTCGCAAACAAAACTCATTCAGCGTGAAAGATAATTGAAATCATCACAAAACAAAGAAAGAAAGAGTTAAAGTCGTGGTACAAGAAGGCATATAAGAACAGGATCTGTAAGAGACTAATTCAGAGACACTTGAAAATTAGGAGTATAATTCAAGTTCAACAAAAGGCTGGGGTAGGAAGCAACCAGGGCCTCGAATTTCGAACAATCATATGCACTAATGCTCGGAAGGGACAAAGGCTAGCAGACAATATCCAAATGATTACTTCCAAAATGATAGAAAATAAAGATAGGAAAAACTAATCCAAAACAAAACGGAGAATGATCAGGTAGGAAAATAAGGCCTCCCTATTTAGTTTCAATTTACATCATGAAATTGCATAGTACCCGTAACGCACGAAACTGCCTCTCAATTCAGGATATCGATGATTACATAAACTAAGCAGGCGATTATAGATTTTTTGCCCAGCAAATAACAAAAGTTGATAGCAATAGCAGTAACACCAAATCAACTGCTAATTACCTGATGGGTTGAGAATATATGACAATAAATATCTTAAGATTTATGGGCAGGAAAAAGTTTCCAAGAGACAACGGTTACACAGTAAATTGAAGAAACAAAATATGAAGAATTTGAACAGCCTTATAAGGTTGTTTCCTCCATAGACAAATACAAAGAGTCCAGTTTTACGAGATACATGATTTTTCATAGGAATAAGTTTTTTCTTATACAAATGGACATGGTGGAGCTAGGGGTGGGCAAAAAAAATTAAACTGAACCGAACTGAACTAAACTGGTGATGAACTGTACTATAAAAAACTAAACTGTTTGTAAAAAAACTGAACTGAACTGTTTAAAAAAAACTGAACTGAACTGTTGTAAAGTTAAACTGTACTGAATTATAAAAACTGAACTGAATTATAAAAATTGAACTATTTTTATAAAAGAATAAAAATTAAATGTGTTTAACATGTTATGTCTTAATGATTTAGCTCGATAGTTTAATAATCAAAGCTTTAGAAAAAAAGTGATCTGAAGAAAAATTGTATCAATTTTTTCGAACTTAACAGATCAATTGAGTTATTTTGAACTACTTATTTTTAGGCTTAAAATTCACTGAGTTTGTTTAACTTAATTTTATATTTTTTTCCTTTGAAAAATTTAAATAAAATGGAAAATAAAGTAAAGTTGGCAAATGTGTCCTATTTTGATAGATCAATGAGTCAAAATTGTTCAATTCAAAATATCATGAAAGTTTAATGCAGTTTAAATTGCAGTTCAGTTCAAGTTTTTATAGTATAGTTCAGTTCAGTTCAATGATACAAAAGAATAGTTCAGTTCAGTTCGTCTGAACTAATATTTAGTTTAGTTCAGTTCATATGAACTACTTTTAAGTTCAGTATAATTTTTATAAGTTCAGTTCAGTTTAGTTCGTTTTGTCCACCCCTAGTTGGAGCTAGAAAGTAGATAAACAATGGAACAATGCGAGGATGTTATAAAGTTTTACGGAAGAATCCAGAATAAATAAAGACCAGGTTGTACTTACTGCATCTTCTCCAGAGATCATTCGTTCCTTTTCAGTTCCTGCAGCCACAACTCCACCTTCACCAACAGCTGAGTTGATTTCCTCTTTGTTCTTATTTTTCTTCATTTTGAACTTATAAGTTGGCAGAGCATTAATCGATTCAGAGGATGCACCTCGGGTTTGTGTTATATCCTCTCTAACTCCAAGGATGGAAATTATACAAGGCAGACAGCAGCAAATTGTTGCACATAGAATGAAAGGCATAGCATAACCGATACAGCTAAAAGTAAGAAACACTACACATAACCTGCCAAGCAAAAGGAAGCACATATAATCAGGAGGCTCTGAAAATCATTGTGTTTGGTTCAGCTTAATTTGGAGAAATAATTGCTTATTTTTGCTAGCTTAATGAGAGAATTGTTGGAAGATAAGTGATTATATCTCTTGAAATATTTTTTACATGTAAGAGCTGTTAAGAGGCTATACCTGTACAAGTTAGGCGCTTCATTATTAGATGAATGTCCTCCAAAAATCCATACATTACCAACAACGAACCATATAGCAAAAAAGCAATCTACAGCAATTTTGAAGTATTCCACAAGTACCTTCAATCTGCTAAACAAGTGTTGGCAAGCTTAGCAACTTGATGAGTTATTTCCAAATTAAGTCATGGGCATTGATGACTGAACAATAAATTTTCAAAAAACGAATCTCTCAAACAGAAAAAGTCAAGAAACAACCTTAACTCTTTCCTTAATTGTTACAGATAGGTTCCCGAGTCTCGTAAATTCTTTAGGTTGTAATAAAGTCACATGTTCTCAATAATACCCTCTCCACACAATCCCCAAAAGAAAATGCAACTTCTAAATTTCCGAATGCACAAAAACAGCGACGCAATGCAAATGAGCACCAAGAAAACCTTATTCTTATAAAATGCGATCGGAACAAGGAATGCTGATTGTGTACTAATATATTATTTCTTATCCAAACTAAGACAACGATTGTATTGAAGGATTAAAGTAATCCATCACTACCACAATTTAATTAGTTTGGAAGGGAAGCACCTCAAGGAGGAATGGGTTCATGGCAAGAACACTTTGTAACATACGTATATATTTGATCATACAGAACAATGAGGGAGGGAAATGGTGTCTAAATCAGAGCCCTTACAAGCTAAAACAGGTGGACTAAAATGTTCAAATTCTGAACAAGTCCTGTGCTCTCAAACCCATCTTCCACAATAGTAAAGAGGAACAAACAAACATTAAGCCTTATAGCTCATTCACCACTACATCTTTAACCCCTTCCAGCATCATGCAAAGACAAAACAAAACAGCAAACAGCAAAACACTTGAATTTAAGCAAAAACAACTAACTAACAACAAAATAGCAACTCAATACCTTGCATTCATCAGCCACGACGAGTCCTGATTGCTTCTGGAGGACGCCAGAACATCTCCCCCTCCAATTGCAACAGAATCAGAAAGAAGTGTCCCTGAAGAATCATTACTCCTCTGAGAGGCCTGAGACAACTCGTGCTCCCGAATGCGACAATTATGATAATAACGCCAATAGAGCAAAGGAAGCGTAGCAACACACCCAGATGCATAACCAACAACCCACGCAAACAAGGGGGCACGCGGATGCTCATGCCTTGACACAGACAGAACAACAAGAGACGCCACAATCTGGCTAACCGTGATCACCAACTCAATAGATATCCAAAACCCCGAATTCAAGGGACTCCTATGCCTAGCCACATTATCCCCTCGCCGCCTAGTCCTAGAATTGAAAGCACCAAAGTCTACATCACGGGGATCAGAGGAAGATGTGGAAGGTCCGGAACTCCCCGTGATGTCAATAACAAGGTGAGTAGGGTGCGCCATCAACAAAGGGTTAGTGTCCAACGGACCTTCAGGGTGCAGCTGTGGTGAAACAAAGTCCATTAAAGTCTTCCCAAGGAAGCATGGAGTTGAATAACCAGCATCACAATTACAATCACAATTCACAATTCACAATTCACAACTCACAATTGACAAATGTGAAATGTTCCTCAACATGAACTACCAAAGTTTGGAAATTAAAACCTGGGTTTTGTGGGGAAGCAATGTTTGATTGGTGAGAATGATTGATAGTGGAAATTGTATGGTTAAAAAAGAGGGATAGCTTATAGGGTTTGTTTAATTAGGAAAAGAAACACGTTAATCATATTCGTAAGAAAGGGCATTACGCGTTGACTGATATTCAAAAACGAGAAGGCACTCAAAGAATAAAAATGGAATTGAAACGAGAAAAAGGAAATGGTGTTAAGGGTGAGAGTGAGAAAAAGAGTGTACCTTGGCGATCACGGAAATGGAAGAAGGGAAAGGAATGGACGAACGACTCAAAGGCCTTTCAATCCCATTCCTACACCCTTGCTTTGCAATTGCTGCATTCTTCTTGCCTCATAAATTCCCAATTCGCAATGTCTTTTTTGTTTTTTACTTTTTTTTTATTCTTATTTTTTTTTTGTTTTGTTTTGTTTCATATTTTTGGTTTTGTTAATGTCTGCATTTAACGACTCCAACAAAAGCTTTGTTTAGTTTTGAAAGGGACGGTCAGCCCAAGTTAGAGGAGCAGGCCGCGCCGGTAGATTGGTTGGGTCGCTGCCTTTCAATTTTCAAACCTTTCTCTATATTTCATCGCCCAAATAAATATATAATTTATCTATAATAATATATAAAACAAAGATATTTCTTTTAATAATTATTTTTATTTTCATACTTATAACGTTAGCCAAAATTAAAGGATTAAAAGATGCTTCTCCCATAATACAAACAAATTATTTAAAGATCAACCCTATTTGGATAGTCACACAATAACTTCTTTCTCTGAAAAATGAAAAATGAAAAAAAGGAAAGAGTAAAAGTTTGAAGCTGTTATATATTTAGTAAATCAGGATGTCCTTAACTAAAAATTGAGTGCTATTCCATCAAATTTCTGAGATAAGAAATACATTTAACGTAAAGAAAAAATTATTTGAGTGAGTGAGGAAAAATATCATGTCTGGCCCTCTGCCATAACTAAATTTGGATAATTTAAGAATTTACCTATTAACTAATAATTCTTATGATTTTTGTGATTTCCTGTAAAAAGAAACACGAATAAGGCCTACATGGGAATGATCCTTTCCGATTACATTTTTATTGGATAGATTCTAATCATTAAAAGAAATTTCAATAAAATTTATTTATTGTAAAACGAGAGTTTAAAAAAATTAAGACCGAAATTTCGATATTCAAGTTTTTTTTTTTTTTTTCATTTGAGAGAATTTGTTCACGATGTCAGTCATGATTCTTATGATTTTGGTGATTTTGTTTTTATATCAGAGTTAAAGACAGGCCAAAAACAAGAGAGCTAAAAATAGCCATCATTGATTGGAGTGAAATAATTGTTAACAAAAATAATCAATGGGTATATTACTTTCATAGTCTTAAACACTCAAATTTACTTTTCTTTTCTTTCACTCAAATGAGTTGTAATCATTACTTTAACTCATGACATATATTTAAAATTACCCTCGTTCTAATTTGTACAACTTTATCACTTAACTAATTTTATTTTAGTTATCATAATTTCAATTAGTTGAAATTTAAAGTGATCTTTAAATATAATGACTTAAGAAAAAATATTTTCATTTCATCATAAATAACATATTTAGTTAAATAATACTATTATGACCATAGTACCCAAAAATTGGTTAGGATAAAGATAAACATTATATAGGCATATGTAATTTTCATATCTGTAGACAGGGACAGGGGCACGAAACCATGTCATGTCTGATGTCCCTAGTTTTACAGGCTCACTTTCCCTTTTCCTTACATACGCACAGTTACACGTGTTCCTCTCCTAAATCTACCCATGCTTCTTATCCTTCAATTATTATCTATACAAAAATCCACCAATGCAAACAAATTACCCTAAATCATTACCATTGTGCCAATTAAATACAACACTATGCAAATGCAATGTAGATAGGAAGTGCCATTAATATTTGTTAATAAGAATAATTAATCCCCCCCTAAACTAGAGCAAAAGAAGTTAAAACCAGCCATTGCCTCATTGTACTTTTCTGTTTTTCTTTATTTCTGAGTTCCATGGCGGTGGATCACATTATTCATCAACAACACAACAAACACCTTCTTGATCTGCAACACATTCCCTCTTTCAATTCGTGTCTCAGCCCTAGAATCATAGAACCTTGACAAGTTTCGTTTCTCTTTTTCCCACATTCCCGAGAAAGAAAAAATAAATTCAGAAATGCCGATTTTCTAATGTTAATTATTTCTCACCCTTTTTCTGGTAACAATACATTTCCGTTTTTTTTGTTCCCTTTCACAATCTTCAAGGTTCCATTTCTCACCAATGCATGCCGCAAAATCGCAAATTTCCCTCGACCCAGTTAAATTCCTCGGCTCAATCTCATGCACCTCCCCTCACGTTGCTTCCAATTTCCCCTCATTCTCCATGACCGAGATCTAGGGTTTCTTTCTTCCTCATTGTTGTTTCCTTCAGGAAGAACCCATTGATTTTCGTGCCACATTGATTTCATTTCCTTAATGGGTTTCATCTAAAGCTTCAAAATTTACCGCTTCCACCATCCGGGTCGCCATGCTGAAGCAATTCCTCAGTAAACTCCCTCGCAAGAACTCGAAGCCCGACTCGGACGAGTCATACCGAGGCGACTCGTCGCGCTCGGACGTTTCCCCGCGCAGAAACAGCCGCCAGCACGGCGGCGGGGGCGCCGCCGCCGCGAAACGGACGTCCTCGTCGGCTGTGTTCCCGGCGAGCACGGTGTCGGTGATAGAACCTTTGGTGCCGTTTAAGGATGTTCCGAGCTCGGAGAAGATGACCCTTTTCGTGAGCAAGCTGAGCCTGTGTTGCGTCACGTTCGATTTCACGGACCCTGGTAAGAACACGGTTGAGAAAGAGGTTAAAAGAAGAACCTTGGTGGAACTCGTTGATTTCGTTTCCTCTTGTGGGTCCTCTAGATTCGGTGAAGCTTCTATTCTCGCTCTGTGTAGAATGTGTGCTATTAATCTCTTTCGCGTTTTCCCGCCAAATTATAGGTCCAATCGTGGTGGTGAGAATGATGATGATGAGCCAGCGTTTGATCCCGCTTGGCCTCATTTGCAGCTTGTGTATGAATTGCTGCTCAAGTTTATAACCTCGAATTGCCTTGATGCTAAGGTTGCTAAGAAGTTCATCGACCATTCGTTTATTTTAAGGTTGTTGGAGTTGTTTGATTCGGAGGATCCTAGGGAGAGGGACTGCTTGAAGACCATTCTGCATAGGGTTTATGGCAAGTTCATGGTGCATAGGCCCTACATTAGGAAATCTATTAACAACTTGTTTTATAGGTTTGTGTTTGAGACTGAGAGGCACAACGGGGTGGCGGAGTTGTTGGAGATTTTCGGGAGCATAATTAGCGGTTTTGCTTTGCCTTTGAAGGAGGAGCACAAGATCTTTTTGTGGAGGGTTTTGATCCCCTTGCACAAGCCCAAGTCCATGGGGGTCTACTTCCAGCAGTTGTCTTACTGCGTCACGCAGTTTATCGAGAAAGAGCCTAAGTTGGCCAGCATTGTGATTAGGGGGTTGTTGAAGTATTGGCCGATAACGAATAGTCAGAAAGAGGTGATGTTCCTGGGTGAACTGGAAGAAATTTTGGAAGTTATTAACATGGTAGAGTTCCAGAGGGTCATGGTGCCTTTGTTTTGGCGGATTGGATGCTGCATTAACAGCTTGCACTTTCAGGTACAATTGTTATTCTCTTCAAGTGAATCCTCATTATTTGCATGCTTTTGTATAGGAATGAAATCTGTGGTCTATAACTATATTTGCTTTTACAGTCATTTTGGCATTGTATTATTAAGAGTCTGTTTGAATACAAGCTTAAAAGACTTTATTTATTGAAAATAAATAAATAAAAATTATAAAGAAGTTCTCAAAAGTTCTAAATTTGTATTCAAACAGATTCTAAGCACACTTGCAAAGACTCCGTTATAGTCTCTCTTTAAGATGTAGAAGTAGAACACTAGAGCCCCTGCTATAATATGGGGTCCTGTGTTTCACGCCCAGCCATTATGGGACTCACGCATCTATGTCATCGCCATTGGGTTGGAAAGAGAAATCCATTTGGGGAGTGTGTATCCTGTATTTCCTTGGTCAAGATACCAAACTAATGTTTAAATTGAAGGAAACGTTTTTGTTTCACAGCCTGGCTTTTCGTCTCCTCTACCTCAACAGGTATCAATGCCTGGTTTATCCATCCTTAATGGGATTGTTGTAGGAGCGCGATTCCTGTATTAGTTCAGTGGCAATCACTAGACTCCCATTTAAGTAGAGGCTCTCCTCACATCATAGAGTAGAGACTAATAATGCTAAGCTTCTCAAAGAACTGCAACTTTTGTTGGGAGATTTTTCCGCAAGGGTGATTTGTTTGATTGCATTAATTTTGGGTGAGAGGTCACTAATAGGATATGAAACTGAAAATAGTTTGTATTTGTTTCATCAGAGCTCTCCATATTTTCTTGAAGTATATTTCCCAAGTTCCTTGAACCTCCTCTTGGGAGTGGCAACCGACTCTCTTGCCTTTTCAAATTGATGGTTTAATTGCTGCAATTTGTCGCCATCTTCATTCATTTGTGTATCTTATTTGTTTCTTTTAACATGCTTGTTTGTCATTTGCTAAAATATAACCCCTTTTTATTCAACATGGGTTGTTTCAGGTGGCTGAAAGAGCCCTTTTCTTATGGAACAACGACCACATTGTCAACTTGATTGCTCACAACCGTCAGGTAATCCTGCCGATCGTATTTCCAGCCTTAGAGAAGAATTCTCAGGGCCACTGGAGCCAGGCAGTGCACAACCTAACTCATAATGTTAGAAAAATGTTTGTGGAGATGGATGAGAAGCTGTTCCTGGCTTGTCATTCTCAGTTCAAGGAAGAAGAAGCGATGCTAAATGCCGGAGCTGAGAAGCGCAAGGAAGCCTGGAAACAACTAGAGCATGCAGCCAGTCTCCAGCCTGTGATTGGAAATACCCCAGTTTTAGTGTCTCCACTTTGATAACCATGTAGCGTATGTATGCATGAATGTATGTATGTCAGACACTTAATCCTTATCTCTTTCCTCCTGTAATGGTGGAAAACCACTAGAAAAAGTGGTAAATGGCTGTTATTGGGAGTAAGCTTTTTGTTTTTGGTTCCTACATGATGCTTTTGATGCTTCTGGCAGCCAGATGTTGTTGTACCTTGTAACATGCTTTTGATTGCCACTGTATGGTAGCAACTTAATTGCCTCCTTCTGATAAGTGATGAGAAGGACCATGCAGTGATCAAACCATTTTCTGTATAAGCCTATTTCCAAAATTCTGTTCTGTGCTTCTTTGCCCTTCCCGCTTATAACAAGTGAGCTTGAACAATAATAATTAGGAAGGATTTGCTTTGCTATACAGGCATTGCAGATTAAGGTATCAATCGCTTAATGAATTATATACATGATTAAGGTTGTGATTTTAGTTTTTAAGCCTTGATGCCACGTCAAGGCCATCTAACAATTTTGTAAATTTGGGAGATACTAAAATGGTTTAATGGAAATGAAGGCTTCATGTGAGAATTATTATTTTGGTTTATATATAATTCACACAATATTCTAAAATTGATAATTAAGATAAAAAAATTGACAACTAAGACTAATTTGTTAAAATTATTTAAATTAAAAGATGTTAGCTTTTTAGTTTAATTTTTATCTACTGGTAGTGGAATGCATTTTACACTTGCTAATTAAGAAGAAATTATGAAATCTTCTATCCACATCATTTTTTAAAAACTTTAATATTTATAAATTTTATTTAAACGTGAAAGTACCAACACCAACATTGTAAATAATGATTGACTGAAAATCAAACGATTTTTTTGTGTTTAACCACAAACTGTTGGACCAACGCTCATAAAGAGGAAATTAGGAATTTTGGAGCCCTACCAGTGAAAAGCTTCTTTTTCTTTTGCGTCAAAAGGAAAGGCTGGACTTACATCACAGTAGTTAATTGGACTCAGTATTTTCTTTTTTCGGCCCCCACTGGAAGAGGGTAGGTAGGTCTCAATTCATGAAACTACTTTTTTTTAACCCGACATGTATTGCGGTTAACACTTTAGACAATTGGTTGAAAAATTCAATGCTTCAAGATTTTTTTTTTTTTTTTTTTTTTTGAAAAAAAT